TTTTGGTGCAATATTGTTTAATAACATTAGATTCAATATGTTGTTGATATGCTTCTGACAAGATGACCATTATGGATAGACCTATTGGACCAGAATTATTATTAAAAATAGCACTTACTAATGCAGAGATCAATTAGTTTATGAATGTCTACTAAAGATAACTTAGTTCGTCGTATTAGATCATCTCTATCTTTGTTTAGCATATCAATAATTGTTATAGTTGTTTTATCAAGTGGTACTATTAGGTATAAATTAATAACATCAAATGACACTTAAACTTCGTCATTAATAAACCATTCTTTTGCTGTTGATACAAATAAAGTTGAATTTTTAACACAACTTTCATTTTTATTTAAAGTTTTAAATATTCATTATTATTATAATTTTTTAAACGGTTTTTTTAACAGTTTTATCAGTTTGATAATGGCTCTCACTATATGAGTCGAAATATCACTTATAGAGAAAAGAAATAAATAGTATGATACCGTATATGATGATTTAATTCCAACTCCAAGTCCAAGTGGTCATTTTATTTAAGGAAGTTTTATTTTTTTATTTTTATGTTTTTTTCTTTTTCATTTTTTCTCCACTTGTGGTTAACTTGTACTTACTTAATCTGAAACTTAAATTTCAACTGAAATATTAGCTTTGCAACTGAATAGAAAATGTGTTTAAGCTTAGGAAGGACATTGGGATACTTTTTAAGGACAGAGGGGTTTTTACCTACACTACTACTCGATATTATTGTTAAAACAAAAATATAAGCATAGACTAAAGTTTTAAGTGTTTATAAAAATATTTCTATTTAAAATAGGTCATTCGAAATCTCAATCTGTTTCTGGTTACCATCCTCCACCAAATAAATTAGGAGATAAATATATTGGAAATATGAAAGGAATCCAAGGTCATATCAATTCATGCTACATGGATGCAACTTTATTTGCAATGTTTGCTTTTAACTCAACCTTCGATTTTATGTTATATCAAAAAAGTTGTAAGGATGATTTTGGTGATAACGTTCAAAAGTGTCTCCATTTGAATATAGTAAATCCTTTAAGAGTGTAAGTTTTTTTTTGTTTTGTAACTTTTTTCTAATGATTTACATCTATATGAATATACATATCTAATTATAACCTTATAATAATATGAGTATACATATCTAGTTATAACCTTATAATAATATGAGTATACATATCTAGCTATAACCTTAACTCCACATCTTAATAAATAATGTTTTTAAAATTTAAACAATCGATTTTAAATTTTAAAGTTTTTAGCTATAGTATATTATATGGTTGACATATTTTAATAATGATAATATATTTAATTTTGATTATTTTTAAGTAAAAAATATTTTAAAGAAGATATATTATGAGTTGTAAACAAGCAGGTTTAAAAACAAATATATATTGGAAGATAGAATTTATTGATTTTGTAATGCTTATCTTCACATTTAAATAATCCAACTTCTTAATTGGTTAATTGGTTTTTTGCGGAAGTAATAGTTTTAATAACCAACCTATTACTTTTGAAACCAACGTTTGCAGAAGTAATATTTTGGTTTCAGTAATAAAAATTGTTCAGACTGCTTTAAAAAGTTGTAGTTCGAGGAATATAGGTAAAACTTTCTTATATAGTAATCATTTTTAACGATAAACACCTTTTTCACAATAATCATTATTCACCTTTTTTTCACTTTTTTTTAGAAACTTACATTTTTTAGTTATATTAAATCTCTAAAAACTATTTTGTTTTAAAAAAAAGTTTTTCTTTTCATGAATGATTGCCAAATGAAAACCCGGTGGTCTTAGTTTATTCATTCCTATCATTATGAGTATGAATGAGTAAACAGGTGAGATAAATTTGTTATAAAATTGTCACTTCATCATCTAAGTTTAATAATAAACAAAGAAATTGGTCTTTTCTTGATATAAGAATCTCATATTCTGATTTGAGGCGCTGTAACTTAAACTTTTTTTATTGCATCCTATTTCTTCATTTGACATAAAATGAAAGTCACTTTTCAGAAATAAAGCAATCATAATAAATATTAATAAGGTTTGTATATCTGCTATGTTTGTAGTAAAGATATTCATGTCTTTCTAATTTAATAAAATACATTTATTATTGGTTTTCAAACTTTGTGTATTCCTTTTCTACATGGTCATTTAGAGCAGTGTTATGGTGCTGGGATAAACTTTTAAAGTTTATCACTTTAACAAATTTAATTAAAAAAAAAAAGAGTTTTTATAAAGCTTATCTGAATAATCTGAAACTGCTTATTTATTGACATTTTAATGATATAACATATATATATATATATATATATATATATATATATATATATATATATATATATATATATATATATATATATATATATATATATATATATATATATATATATATATATATATGAACAAACCTCAGAATTAGGGCTATTATGAAATGTTATGTATGTATGTATGTGTTTATATGTATGATGTGTATATATTTTATTTCATTAAAATACTGTGACTATTTGATTTTCTACATATTCTGCAACTTTTTTAATTAAAAAAGTTGCAGAATAGGTAAAAAATCAATTAAAAAGAGTAACATGTAACTACTTATACTTTTTATTTTAACAAATAATTAGCATATTTGGAACTTAAAATGGTGGTAGTTGATTAAAAATTTTAGTTAAAATAAAAATAAAAAACATTAAAGTTAATATGTTTATAAAAATAAAAAATTTAAGTATACTAAACAAAATCTTTTCTTTAAAGTAGTTTCAAATTATTTGTTTCTTCTTGTTCTATGCAAACAATAGTTTTTATAACTATAATTTGTTTTGTAGCCAGATTTAAAAAAAAAAAACATAATTTTTTATTTATCAAATGTAAAAATAATATATTGTATATTAAGTTTAAAAAAACTTGTTGAAGTGACTTTTATGTAACAAGAAAATTTCCTAATTTTTTACATTTGTACAAGCCATTAATAGCTAGTGTAAACCAGTTTAAGAGAGTGTGGTCATGAGAAATTCAAAATTAAATTTTCCAGCTTATTGTTCATTATTTACTATATTTGTTTCATAATAAATTTTTAATATTCAAATAATAGTTAGATGGTAATTATATAAAGGTTTTACAAAAAATCAGAAGTTGGTAAAACCAGCAGTTTTAAATCAGAATTTTTTTTAATATATTTTTTTTAGATATAGTTTAATTAAATTTAATTTTTTTATATAGACTATAGTTCTTATTAAAGTTAATGGAAATGCTTCACATAATAATAGAGATATATGTTTCATTCTTAAATTTAAATCTTATACTTTAACTTAAGTATTTTTTCCACTTTCCTTTGCTATTTAAAGAAACTTTGTCATCTTTGTCATTTCACTTTGCCATTTAAAGAAACTTTGTCTTGGTTTTGTGATGCACATAAAAGTTTACAAAAATATTATGACAATATTTATATATATTTTTTTTTTTTTTTTTTTTTTGTATGAATCATTGCGCCAAACACTCTTCAAATTTTTATCAGTGAACACCATTGGTATTTTCAAATCACCAGTCAATTCATTATTTTCTTTATTATTTTGTTAAACAAATTATAAGATTTTTTGAGCCCTGAATTGTTTGTCTTTTTGTTTCTTGTTGTCTGATACGCAAATACTGTCTTGCACAAATTGTTTTCACCTCAGATAGCATCTGTATAAAAATTCTCTAATTGCAACAATATTTTCAAAATCAAATGTTTAAATGACAAAAAAATGCCAAATAGAATCATATTCTATGATGAACAAGAATAAATAATTAGACATCTGATTCATCAATCAGTTTCTTGTTTATATTGATCAATCAGTTTCTTGTTTATCTTGGCCACTGATTTTTTATTTATTAATATAGGCTAACACTTTTTTTAATGAAAATTTCAATAAAAATAGTTATAAAATTATTTGTTGTTGTTGAAAAAAGTTTTGTTGTTAAACGTACGCAACCTTAAAATTGCTTTGAATGTTATATATTTTTATTATTTATTTATTTTTATATTATCACAATTTATATTATATCATATTCTGATTCATCAATTATTTGATTTATCATAAGGAAAAGTTTTGAAGTTGTGAAATTATTGACTTAATTTAAGGTAGTTTATGTTTTTGAGTAGTTTTGAAGTTTAGAATGACTGACAATTATTTTTAGTATGATTTTTATTCTATGATTAAACACATTTTTAAATACTAAAATAAAAACATAACATGATAACAAGTAACAAATAAAACATGACAAGAATTTTAAGCAACAAATTTTTTTTTTTAAATAAACGTTGCTAGAACCCTCTTAACACTACTGTATATAAATATAAAATAAAATATGACAATATTTTTAACTTCTTTTATTTTTTATTATTACAGTGTCAAAAATATAAATAATTAATATTCTTATTATTAATATTAAAATAAAATTAATAGACTTATTATTAATATTGCGGCTTTATTTTACATCTTGAATTATTATCTAGTAATACAAAGGTTCCTACAAATATGATGCAAGGAGTTTGAGGACATTTGAGAAAAAAAAACCAAAAACCATGTTATTATATTTACATTATTTTAAAAATAAAAGATACCTAAAACTATTTTATCATATTTACATTATTTTAAAAATAATAACTAAAAATCATGTTAATAAAAATCATATTATTATATTTACATTAAAAAAGTTTTTAAAATTTTACTTACCATTTTAAATTATTATTTTTTTAATCTATAAGTAAAATAGAAATAATCAAGATCCTCATAGGTCTAAATCTAAAGAGACCATGATAAATAAAAATGTAAGCTTTTATATTTTTTATACCTTAATATATATTATAAAATTTATTAGTATTAAAACATATTGTAAAAAAATACTTTTGTTAGAAACGGGTTTGTTGAACAACCAAGTATTATGGAGTTACGAAAATGTTTAGACAACATTGGAGAGATTGCCGGCTTTTTAGACAAAGAAAAAGGTTTTTATTTTATTATCTTACTATTTTAAAGTTTTTTTAATTTTTTTTAATTTCTTGATTTTACTTATTTCTACTATTTTTGTTCTTACTTTTTTAATTTTTATTTTCAAATTTATAAAAGCTATAATTAACTACTAGCTAAATGTATATATATATATATGTATATATATATATATATATATATATATATATATATATATATATATATATATATATATATATATATATATATATATATATATATATATATATATATATATATATATATATATATTTATGAGGGTGTGTCTCAAAAAAATTTATTTTTTGAAAATTGTTATGAGGAAAAGTTTAATCGCTATCAATATGTATGACTTGCATATAGTAAAAATTTCAGCTTTCCAAATCAACTTTAAGGTAAATAAGGTGGTTTTAAGCAATATATAATGAAATTGTACTGCTTTAATTTAGAAACTCTTAGTTTCTCAGAAGTTTAGAACTCAATTTAGAACTTTTCCAATTATTTTATTGAGAATTCTTTATTTTATTTTTTTTTATTTTATATATTAGGAGAACTTAGCAAACATCATAAACTTAGCAAACATTTTTTAAAATAAAAATGTCTTATTAAAATATTTATATTATTATTTTTTTAGTTATTTTTATAAATAATAAATTACAAATAAAAAAATAATACTGTAAATAATTTTATAAAGACATTTAAAAAAAAAATTGTTTTTAAAGTTCTCCTAATTATAAAACTTTCAGTTAAAAGCTTGTTAAGCTAGCGCCACAATATATGAAAGTTTTAAATGACATGTTTTTTTTAAATTCGTTAACAATCAACTTTTTTCAAATAATTTTCCAAGAGTAAAATATTATATTTGAAAACAACAGTTTTGTTTCAAAAATCTGCTCTGGGATGATTTTAGCCTAAATCATCCCAGAGCATAAAAAGAAGATTTAAGCTTGAGATTTACTTTGACACTAATATTGTAAGCCAGTACACAATTGAAGAAGCAGTCTCCACAAATCACGAAAGGATAGTTATAACTGTTTTCATTATATCTCTTGCTTTAAATTTTTAAAAGCTGCAAATAAATTAACCAAGCTAATGCCATTCAATATGTCTTTAAATATTCTGAGTAATTTTTATTTTTTATTTTTTATTTTTTCCCAGCTCGGAGACAACTGCCTATGAGGTTGTTGCAACTGTTTATAAATACCCAATCAGCATGGAATGTAGAAATAATGCTCTTTAGTCAATTAAATCAAATTTGGTACGCTTATTGAGCGTTTAACTTATATTTTTTATGTGCTAATAATAATCGCACATCAAAAAAATCTCCCCTGCCAAGGCCATATTATTTAATACAGATCAAATCATTGGGGTGTGTGTTGACACCACAGCCAGCAATAGAAAAAATTAAGGAGCTGTAAGGAATGTTTTTGTTCATGCTTTAGGAAGGCCTGTTCTCCAGCTAATGTGCAGACACCACCATGAGAAACGCGTCGCATGTCATGAAACTTGTTTTTAGTCAGACAAAAAGTCCAATCAAAAACCTCTATGTTTTACTTCAGCAACTGTGGCCACAAATGCACAAAGAAGTATAACTGTTTTTGAATCATTCAAATGATTTAAAAACAGTTGTACTTGCTACTCTTAAGAACATAAACACTGCTACAAATATAAGAATATAAACAATGCTACAAAATTATAATTTTCTATGGTCTATTTTTTCTCAATGGTAACTCAAGTACTTTTAAATGACCTAAGAGCTTTTAAGCTCCAAATGTCAAATGACTTCAAAGACTTCGCAGAGATACTCAATTTTATTTTATTATTTTTATCAAATTTATTTTATAAACACTTTCCTAATAAACATTTTTCAAACAAATATAGCTAAGTTTTAAAACTTATTAAATAAATGTTCATATTGTTAGAGTTATTTTTTATTTTTATTTTCTATTGTTATGCCTTATTTATTCTTAGCTATTTACTTCAATATTTATGACAGAAATGTTGTTAAAATTGTAGCGCTTAACCTCAAACATTAAGCAAAACAAATGTGGAACATTTCTCAACAAAAGCCTTCTGTGATACACTTGGTCCCCAGTTTTGATTCTTGCTGACAGGGATCTAGATATTGATATCAAAAATAACATACTCATCAAATTGCTGTCTTTTGCTATTCCATCATAAGAAGAAAGTATTTCAGCCATTGTTTCAGTATCAGCTCTTTATCATGATTTTGTCACTGAATAAAGTTATTTTCTGTTCTTTCTCCTGAAAATCACTAGAGAAGAGCTTTTGCTGTCGAGGGAGAAATATTAAGGGGCTTGCAAGAGTGAAAGAGCCCCCAAGTCATTTGTAGAGTTCTCTAGTTGTGTAAATCAGCTTGCAACGGTAAATGGTAACTCTTGCAGAGTTACCATTTGCCGTTGGCAGAGTTACCATTTATAGTTTTATGTGACATTCTGCCAGATTTAAATATATATATATATATATATATATATATATATATATATATATATATATATATATATATATATATATATATATATATATATTAAAAGTCTATATTTTGTTAATAATAATTTCATTTATAAAATACTAGGATATAAATGCCCTTTAAACTGCTTTATGGACATTAATGTATAGCCCATACTGTGTGTGTGGGGGGGGGGGAGGGACAGAAAGAAAGAGGGGGGAGAAGGAGGAAAAGAATTGTTGGGTGCATTTGACCCCCTTTATTTACAAACTGCTTTGTTTCACAGAAGCTTTAGTATTAAAATTTACCATTATATACGATTGCTATTCTAAACTAACTTATTTTTAAAAAATAACCTTCCACCCAAAAAAAAAAGTATAATGTATATTAATTACCTGAAAAGTATCTTGAAGTCTATCCTCATTATGTGACTTTCCAATAAAGTCTTGGATCAGTTTTAAGTGACATTCTGCCAGATATGTATATATATATATATATATATATATATATATATATATATATATATATATATATATATATATATATATATATATATATATATATATATATATATATTATATATATATATATAGGTTGATAGATAGATAGATTTGTGTTCAAAAACATCTCAAATCAGAATATAAATGAAAAAATAGAATATATTATATTAATGATCTACAGTGGTGGAAAAATAATGAATACATAATGTAAAAATTAAGAGAAGTGCATTTTATTCACAGGTAATTGAGGATAATTGATACAAATTTTTTTGTTTATAAATTTTAGTATTAATACTTAAATCTTTAAAAAAACTATTTATTAATCCTTACTAATTAGTCATTGGTTTTCTCATTTTGTTTAAAGTAACTGTAAATTAACTGGAAAAAATATTAAATACAGAAATGGCTAAATTTGATTTCAATTCAAGTTGAAATATTTAATATTGAATTTTCTTGAAAAATTCAAGAAAATTCAATATTAATCTAACAAAAATAATAAAAAACAAAAACAAAAGCATATTTATTTCCCCTGCAATATAAATCTTTTTTGTTCTTGAGGTTTTTGATTTCATCTTATGGTTGTTTAGATGTTTTGGACCCATTTAAGTTCATACGAGAAAAAAAATCTATGACATGATGCCAACCTCTAACAGTTTGAGTTTAGCATCAGGTCGGCAAAAAAAGTTTGACTAAAAATGGTTGCCATAAAACATAGAAACAAGGTCAGCAATTTTTTGCTGACCTCAAACTCTTTAAGGTTGGTATTGTCAACCCTAATTCGGAGGGCTGTAAATACCAAATACAACATCTTTAATAGCAATTTGTCATAAAAGTAACTTTTTTATATTTATATTTACACAATTTTTATATTGTAACAGAATGATTATATTTGTGTACAAAACATATTTTTTAAATATGCATTATTTTTCATCAACTGACCATCAAGTTATTTTTATTATAACGTTGTTTTGTAGCATAATATTTATGATACACTGTTATTTTCATTAAGGGCAGGCAAATATTCCTTAAAGTTTGAATTATGAAATTTACTGAAAAACAAAGTTGACTTTGGCTTCTATTTCGGTCAAATTTCTATTCAGAATAGAAATTCAGCTTTCATTTAAAATCAGTAACAATTGCAAAACTCAATTAACTTTCATAAATTAGAAAGTTAATATTTTTTTTTTTTAATTAGAAAAGAAAAATAGTTATAAAATATATAACATGTTTATGGATATCTGTTTCTACTTGTTCATTGTTGTTTCGTTTTTTATAAAGTTTGTTGTTTTGGAGTTAAAAAGTGACAGTTGCATCACTATTACATAAACATTAAAATGAGTAACCTCCTTGACTAAAGTGCCCCCTTGGCCTTGGGAACATGAATTTAGTAAAACAATTAATAATACTAATTTTAGTTTATGAAAAATGATAATTCAAAAATGTACTTTCATTATTTGTATAAAAGTTTTCTTTCAATTAAATATGTTTTTAAAATCCAAATTTTTCAGTTAAATTTCAGTTCTAAAGAAGACTTTCAGTTTTGGAGTTTAAGGCCTGAATTTGTTTTCAGTTAAAATGTTTTTTTTTTAATTTAAAAATTTATTATTCGTTATTTTCTCAGGTAGGAAGTCAAATGAAATAATCAGAATCTGCATTAGTTATAAAATATCCATAATTATCTATTTAATTATTTACATATTGTTTTGAACTTGTTTTAGATGCTCATGAAACCCTTCTAGCCCTTTTAGATGCTCATGAAACCCTTCAGCAAAAAATACTTCTTGCATCATTTTCTATTCAATGACCTTTCATAAAACACGATGGTTTTCTTCTGAAAGTGTAAATAAATTTCCATCCATCTAAAGAAATGATTTTAACTTTATTAACATAGAAATAGTTAGAAACTTTTGAAATTGATATTTTTAAATGCTAGAATGCAAAATAAGCAAAAAAATTTAAATTATTAACTGCTAGTTTAATTTTCAAATGATAAATCCAGCTTTTAGAAACTTTATGCTTATAAAGCTAA